TTGGCTGTGGTGAGTAAATACTTATTTGTCATGGTTCAACTAGAATTTTTTTACTATCTTTCTTCTGTCAGACGACGATTGTATTTGGTGGTTTGTTGGTAAAAGATTTTGGAAAAGGATTGAAGAAATTTTGTAAGTTTTCTTTATTTAATTATAACAATCAAATTTTAATAATTTGATTTGGCAGTTTACATTTACATATTTCATTTAATATATAGTTGTCAAATCATCTGCAAAGCCAACTTCACCTGGTGAAGAAGAAGCAAATATTGAACCAAAAAGAATATCAATTGACGATTAAAAATTTCTTATGGTTTGTAATTACTAGCTAATTTTTGATAAATTAGGCTATAAAAATTTAATTTCTTGTTTTTATAGCATGAAACTTTTCTTTTCCCTTAATATTTTATAATATATAAAAAGTTTAACTTGTAGCAATAGTTTTTATTTTAAATGATCGTGCTAGAATTTATTTCATGACCAGGGATCTACCTCATGTGAGATAAGCTGTTTATATTTTATATTTTAGCGACTCGCTCGAATACTTATATAGGTCTTTCATGAGACTAAGATTGTATTTTAACCAGGGTTTAAAATTGGCTTGCACAAGATGCACATGTGCAAGTAGTTTTTTTTTTGTGCAAAAGAAATTCTAAATGTATATGCACAAGTGTGCAATTAAATTTGAATAATGAGCTTGCACAAAAAATGATGTGCAAGAGAAATTATAAAATTTTATTGCACCTAAACATAAAATATGGGATAGGCTAAAGATATTCCGAAAAGTCCGAAAGGAAAGTGAATAAACATAAATACGAGCACGGTCGAGCGTAAATATTGAGAAAATATCCGAAATATTCCAAAAAAATCAAACAAAAAATATGATATATACTTAGTATGGTAATTTTACAATATTTGATCACTTAGAGACAATAAATAAGTGCATAAAAATAAAATTTATATGCACGCATGTGCAACTAGTAGTTCGCTTGTGCAATTAAAACCTATGACACAAATGCATTTGTGCATGTAAGTTTCGATCTGAATTTTAAACCCCGACTTTAACACATTACAGCTTTTCAATTTTATTAATGTAAAAATCACAACTTGCCGTGATTTACTATTTATCAAATTTATCTTGCGAAATGAAATAAGTGAAATGTAATCCACGCAAAAGTACGCAGCTGATGCCAAAATTTGGTCCTATATTAATATAAAAAAATAATTTTGTCTTTTTTTGAAGGTATCTTTATTTTGTTTTTCTTTGGGGTTGTTAATAGAGGTGTATAAGTGGACTTTTTTGGTAGAGTTTATATTTACAAAATAAGACACCAAAAAATGTTAACATCAGCCGCGACATAATTTTAACATCCACGATTTGATTTTCTTTTTTTAAAAAAATGGTATTTGATAGCTCATCATAGAAAAACCCTCTATGTAAGACTTATCCATATATTATTGGTTATTTATGTTTAAGAAACTAAATCAAAGAATACATTAAATTTAAACCTGTTTTAAACTGTGTCTCATGTAGTTACCAGAGTAACATCAATATTAATGCGGTAACTAACATGATCGATGGTATATCTGAATTTTTTTATTACAGTTTATTTTATTCTTATAATTAAAAGTTTAATATAATTGTGTTAATTATGTTATTATAAAAGTGAACTTTGTAAGAACAAAGGTGATAAGTTCAATTGTGATACTACTAAGTCATGTAGATCCTCTATTTCTTCTAAGCAATCCCAGGATTGTATCTAAAGTAGTATAATCAATGTTATTACCATGAAGCCATAAGAATTTTATAGCTGTGTTTTTATGAAGTACATCAATGAATACATTCCCTTCTTCAATGTCAAGTAGATTACTTTCAAGAGACAGATGGGTTAATATAGCGTTCTTATAAAGAGCTGCCGCTAGTGCTTTTCCTCCTTCAGAACTAATTTCATTCTTATTAAGATTTAATGAAGTTATTGTAGTATTTTTGCAAAGAGCATTGGCTATTGCCTTCCCTTCTTCAGCGCCAAATTGATTATCCTCAATACTCAAGAAAGTTAATGAAGTATTCTTATCAAGAGCCTTTGCAAATGCCTTTGCCCCTTCGATGCCAAGTTGATTACATTCAAGAAACAAATAGGTTAATGTCATATTCTCATAAAGAGCTTCCGCTATTACTTTTCCTCCTTTATCGCCTAGTTGATTGTTTGCAAGAAACAAGAGGGTTATTGTAACATTTTTATGAAGAACCTCTGCTAATACTTTTCTTGCTTCAGAACTAAGGGGAATATATCTAAGAGTTAAAGAAGTTAAAATAGTATTTTTATCAAGAGCCTTAGTTAATACTTGAACTCCTTCTAAACCAAGTGGGTTATGTAATAAATAATTACTTAAAATTGTTAAATATTTGAGCTTTTTACTTGTACGTAAAAACATTCTAACTAAAGAATCTCCGACTGCTTCAACTGCATTTTGTACTGAAAATGAAAAGATAGGATCTAAAATGATGGAGTCACAAAGCCATTCTTTAACTCCATAAATTGTAGTAATTATAATATCTGTTGTATAAGCTAGATATTCAAATAATGGTATGGGATTATTTGGAAGGAATATTCTAAATGGTATTAATAACTCTTTTTCTTCCGTGTTTAATTCAGAAAGACATATCCTTATAAGTTTTTTATTATTAAAAATTTCTATTTTACTCTATAATACTACCGTATTATAAAGCCAATTTAATTTAGCTGAAAGTATTAGTAACATAACCCAAATCATTTTGGCACCAATTGACAATTACAGCAGTTTTTGATCGGGTTTAGATTTTTCTGAAACAAAAATATATTCTTAATTTTTATGATATAAAAAATATAAAATTAATGAGGTTTGCTATTTATTACCACTGGTGATATCATCGGTATTGCTATATCTCAAAAACCTACTAAGTAAACAGGATCAGGTGCTCTAAATAAAAATGCTCAGGACCTTTGAAAGCCTTATAAAAACTAAAATCAAGACTTTATATTTAATTTATAAAATATTATATATAAAAAAAAATCACTAAAAGTGCGCCCTAACCCTAAATTCTAGCAACTGGTGATATCACCAGTGGTGATATGAAGTAATTTTCAAAATTGATAAATAAAATGATATTTTATGACATCATGACATTTGAGACTATATAGCGATAGTAAGTTAGTGATGTCCAGCCTTTTTGTGTAACCCAAGCTTTTTGGACTAGGCAATAATACTGGTCATCTATATGATAACAAAATTTCAATCCGAGCATTTTTACTTAGTGTTAGTATGTTAGTGGAGTTTAACCAGGTTAAATCGCCACCCAAAAAAAATTCAGATCATGTAATTTATATTATTCACATATTCAAAAAATCAAATATACTTTTGCTTTTACTTTTTTTATAAAAAATTTTATTAATAAGCATCGTATAACTAATATAATTGATATACCGTGATTATTAATCACAAGGAAAATTTTTTGGGTGGGTTGTAGAATTTGGTGATTTGGGGCAAATTTAGTTAATTCTGGAAGCTCAGTTATACAAAAAGGCAAAAATTTTTTGAACCAACTAATTTGAGACTTTGTTACGGCAAAATCCGTTACATCACAAGCTGTAAGATTTTTTTTAAAATTAAAATTATGGTTCTCTTTCGGTTAATTATTGTGGAGGATTACTGTATGCTGAAAATGGATTATGCTGAAAATTTGGAGTCTCTATTTAAACCCATAATATCTACTAAAACCCAAATATACTCTTTTATTAATAGGTATCTATTTGGCTAAAGTAGTATATACAAAAAAAAATTATTTTAAATTAATTATTTAACTAAATTTATTTAAATTTTGCTAAAATATATTTGAATATTGAGATTATCTTTTGTACAATTTTAGTTATACTTATTAATAAAAATTTTGTATAGCTTAATTTTAAACTTTCTGTATTCTCTAAAATTTTTCTACACTTAATTTAGTATAGTATTAAAAAAATTATATTATATATAAAAATTTGAAAATAACTAATGTTCACCACAGGTGATAATCACCTGTGATCTACAATACATAATTAATTTTTATTAAAATAAAAAATTAACCTCTTTAGGATTAGGGTAAGAGTAAGGATTAGTAGTTAGAGATTAGGGTAGAGCTTTATATATAGTAAAATTTAGCAAGGAATTTTTTTTATTAGAACTTAAAAGGTGGTTTCATAGACAAAATTTTGAGATATAAGTATTTTTTTAAAAATTCTTTGTTTTTGTTATACAAAATTAATTTACACGTTACATCTGATCCTGAATTTTAATTGGCAAAATAACTACAGGTGATTATCACTTGTGGTGTAAATTAGCAATTTCCTAAAAATTTATAAAAAATTAAAAAAATATCAAATTTTTATATTGTTTTGGGTCTAATTTTAATTTTAGTATAGTTAAAAAACAAGTAATAATTTTTTAAAAAGCTTAAATAAAACTATTTAAGATAGTACATATCTAAAAATGGTTAGTTTTTTATATATTTATATAGTAAAATATAGTAAAAATAACAAATAAAAAATTAAATTATTTCGGGTCTATATAGTATACAATTATAATAAAAATACAACTAGCCATGTATGTATTTTTGGTATCTAATTTAAATAGTTTATTCAAAAATTTTGAACTAGATATATATATCTGCAATCTAATTACAAAGTTATTTAAACTTTTTAGTTATTCAAATATTTAACCAAGTTATAACTTACTATTATATACTAGATTTTGCAATATTTGTAAATTTTGTATTTAATCTTAGAATATACTAACTATCTCTAATTAGCCTATTCATAAAGTAAAACTAATAGTAGGGTTTCTATCAAACCAAATTAAATCAAACTTTTAGTCAAATTTGAGTTAATTTAATTTCAAATCAAACTCAAATCAAATCTTTTTTAAAAAATTGGATTTGATTTAAGTTTAAATTAAAATTTTTTAGTTAAATTTGATTTAATTTGAGTTTGAGTTACAAATCACATGTTGTATTATTTTTAATCATTTTTGATAATGATTAGATAATTGATTTTGTACTACAAAGTTATATACAAAATAGTAAATTCATTATCATTTTCATAACTTTGTATTATGATAGATTTTCAAATAAAATTTTAGCAAAAAAAAATATATACAATTATAATTCAAGAGAATAAAGGTTTTTTATTGCTATAAGAACAGATACATTATATGAGTAGTAAGCTAGACATATAATATTAGTTTCTTTCTAGATTTTTTTATCAATAAAAGTGGCTAAGATAT